ATACTGGAGGAGAACGCGGTGCTGAGAGCTGATCCTTGTGATGGAGCTGGTGGTGAAATATATTGGTTCAGTTTTTTCCAGCACTCCAGTGCAATGGGGCTAAAGTCTACCAGGCACCAACCTTCTGTGAGCTTCAATGGAAGAATATGTGCTTAAATTATCTTTGAGGATTTGCTTATCAAATGGTAATACTGCCATCATCTGTGAATCCACACAGGGAGTTCTTCATCTCCAGCTTGGGAAATACTGCTTAACAGAGGTGGGAGAACATGGCAGTCTGGGAAATTTGTAAAAGAATATATTTGTATACACAACAAAAAAAAATTGCAATAAAGGGAATACTAGCATTCAGTAAATGAGAACTTGTATCTCTCCTTAAGAGGCCACAGACAGGTAAAATTAGCCCCTGTAGCTGTTTGAGTATTCAGACAGACAGATTACCTTTACAGTTCCACATAAAAGAATGCAGGTAAAGGAGAAATTAACTATTGAATAAAAACCTCCTCTGTACCTTCTGAGGTTCAAATGTTCAAAAATTTTTCCCCCTGTAAATACTGTTTTTGTAGCTCAAACCTATGCAGAAGAGAAAAGCAATCTTCATCACTCAAAAATATGTTCATTTACAAAACATATACAGAAACATGCTCTACAACAAATCTCCGTGTCTTGTTATAAGTAAGGAGGCATCAAAATCCATAATAACTGCATTTATAAGAGAAAGATCAATATAGCACCTGGTATTTCAAAGGCAGAAAATTATTCCATTAAATTTCTACTGCTAGAAAATGCACTGAACAAAATATCTAAAACTCATGGTGGGCTTTCGTCTCTCGCACTGTACCACTGTATAAATCACAAGGAAACCATCACAAAATTCTCTGTAAAAGAGGCATTAGGACCTGCTTCACCCTCTTCTGATTGAAACAACAGCTCTCCAAGAGAAGGTTGTGGCTCAAGACATTACTGACATCCTCCAACTCACATCTTATCAGAGCCTCTCTGTTGTCATCGGGATGTGGGGGTAAAGGTAAACCTTAAGGTTTGGGGTTTTTTGCCCTGGGTGCCACTGTTCCAATATTGTCTCTGTGTGTAACTAATTTATCTGTTCTACAGGAAAAACAATAAAAGAGACAAATGCTCTGATTTTGATTCTCATTTTAGATACTTAAAAGGGAAACCTAAGAATGACTGCATACAGTGCATTAGATCAAAGGTCTGTCCACTCCAGCAGAGCACCCTGTTTTTACAGAATTGACATTAAGAGATCTCTGAACACAGTTTTTGCTCCCAGGACTATTGACAATCTGTTATTCCGGTGACTTGACTAAAAAAACTCCACCAAGTATGGCCATAAGTGGATGGTTATTGAATCTTAAGAACATCACAACCATATGTGAAACTTGCTAATAATCTCTCTGCCTTTAATTATTTTAGCTCAGGACCTTATTTCTCTGAATGCAGGCTTCAAGAATTTTGCGATGCTCAGTGGATTTATTTTCATGAGCTTCAGTCATCCCTTATAAATTTTTAGAATCTACCACATCCTTCAGCAAGGACTTTCACAAGTGATCTACCTGTCGTGGGAAGAACAGTATGAGACAGCCCTAGCCGGTGGGAAGTTATGGTGCCAGCCCACTGGCTGTCAATGTTGTCATGTACTCCACTGGTAACTCATAAATGGAGCTACAGAGGAAAATAGTTTTGAAGTGTGATGATGGAGTAGATGTTGATGGATATTTGCAGAGGGTAGTCCCTCAGCATGAGAGACGTCAGAGGAGAATGCATGAAAACGGCTGTTTGCAAACCTTAGGGGGCCTGTAGGCAGGACCAGCCTATTGGATTACCTGCAGGGGAATGGTATCCATGGCAGTCTCAGCATTTCCCAGAAGGGTTCTGTGAATACAGCACTGAAGAGGATCTCAGGAGGAGCAATATAGAGTCAGGCTCTACTTCAAATACAGGACAAGACAGATAACACTATGCCAGGAAGAAATCTGGAAAGTTGTATCTTTGTTCTTTAACCTTTCTATAGGTGATCAATCATACAGTTCTTTCATTTCTGCAAGATGTGGAATGATTCAGAGAGGAGGCTAGACCAAAGCATCAGCTCCCTTTTTCCTCTTGAAACCTGAGTGAAGGCCCATTTTGCTGCAATAAAATGACGCTTTTTACAGTCAAATACAAATATGGCTATTCATGACACCTGTGGATGGTTTTGTCTTAACACAATCCTCAGTGCTGAAGACAGTGATATTAAATCAAGCTAGAGACTGGATTTTGAGATGCATCTGAGACAAAAACATAGCAACTGGCATCGGGCCTTAGAAATTTGTACATTGGCAGCAATTAATACTAGTCATTAACCTGGGAGCTACAAGGGCTTATGGTGTCTGAAGGCCTCCAGTGGTTGCTAATAAATCCAGGCTTTTATACAAGGAACAGAGTAGTTATGGATAAAAGCAGTAGGATGGATGTGACAACCAGCAATTTTAACTTATCACCTTGGAGCTTTATTTTTGAAAGCTTTTACTTCCCACTGATTGCAGGCTTCCAATTTTGTGTTGTCATGTAATAAATTACAAAAATTATCTTTTTTTTTTTTTGGCACAGTGCTTCATAGACAAAGTGTCTAAAAAGCTTCTTTTTTTAATGAAATGAGTTAAGTATTGCTGCCATGGTGATTATAAGAACAAATCAGCACCAAACAGTACCCTAGAAATCTAGATACAAACTCAAAATTCTCAGTTGCCAAGGTATTTGGTTTGAGTCCTTTCTAACTGGAGGCTTTTACTGTGTACACAAAGGGCATGGGGGTGGAAGACTGGAGAAGAGAGGTCGTTCTGAAAAGCATATCTTTAACCCTTTTCCTGAGAGGAGAGGGCTGTCTAACTTACTAACATGTCTGAAGGAGATCTGAAGGATATCACTCCCATCAGGGAGGTGAGCCTCCTCCTCTCAGTAGGGGTGTGAAGCAGAAGGCATCATCATCCCTGAGGTGGCTGTAAAGGTGGCACCACTGTGCCAATCACTTAAAAGCTGTCCTGTTTGACCAGGGACCTCGCCATTTGGCACTAAGGTAGTCTCGGCTCTTGCATTTATTAATATTCACTGCTACATTTACTGCTTGCTGAATTCATATTCTAGATAAGTATTCTAAGCAAAAGTTCTACTTGTCTACTTTGCTGACATTGCATATGCTTGATCACAAACATCATAAAAAGTTAGTAAAGGAAGCAAAGAGAAATTGTGAAGCTGGTAAAAATGTTTTCAATATTTAATTAATTATCTCTTACGTATCACCCACAACAAGAGGGCAAAGATGTTGTGGGTTAAATAGAGACCTAAAAGCACAAAGCCATAAAAAAATGCCTTACTCAAACCTGCAACTTTTCTAGAGCAAATATAAAACCAGCAACATGTTGTTAAGCATCTGATTGTAAGGTAAAGTCTTTGCATCAGAAAAAGTTACTAAGATCAAAGATGGAAAGTTTCTGCCATTAATGTCTCCATGGCTGGCTTGAGAACGGAGTCCAGGGACTGACAGCTAAACAGATCTCTTCCAGGGACATGAAGGTGGTCAATTCAAACTGCTCTGTTGCCTATTACGTACGGCATTCAAGATAGGTCACATTTTACAGTCAGTGACATTAAACTATTTCATAGTGATCCATGTGCTATAACTTATAATATATTATTTAGAATATTTTAATCACCTAAAGTTCAGGGACCTCAAAGCACATATTAATTAATGCTTATTTTAATTAGCTCTGCCTCAGAGAGAGGAAGAAGACAAAACTGTGCAGCCTTATTAGCACGACACTCCAGATCCATAATTAAACCCAGAATACACAACATAATAAACATCAGAACTTAAAGGAGTGGAAGGTTGGTCACTAACACGGTAGCCTCCCACTCTTATAATCATTTTCCTTAACATTTTATTTCCTTCCTCCCTGAGTCTTCCTGTGAATGGCAGTTTCCACAAGGGAAAAGGCAAAACATTTCTGCACTTCACGGGCCAAACTCAGCTCTGTTCTTGCAGTAAAAGCATCATCTTCTGTGGAATTATTCTATATTCCATGAAGCACCTGAAGGAATATACTATTATTAAGAGGAAAAATCTTTTTGTGTGGGTATCTTCAAAAGCAACTTCTTCCTCTGTTTGGCTACCAGCCATCTGGATCTGTTTGCAGGCATAGAAACCTCTGCTTTGCTGCCTCCAAGCATTCTGCCTCTTTCCCTGACCAAGAATCGCTGAAGATGCTTTAATTTAAATTTCACAGCTGCTGGCTTCTGAAAGGAGAGAAAATGGGTTCTTCATATTTTCTGACTCCTCATAATAAATTAACTGTATTGGGTGAGTCAGTGTGCAAAGGTCATACAGCCAGTCATTGGTAAAGCATCAATACAACACTCAATAGGGCCAGTCTCTAGCACCCTACCCTCGTCTGCCAAATGACTAAGCTAGGAAATTCCAACCACTGCTATTCAAGCATCTTCCTACGTACATTAGAGACACTTAAGACAAACAAAACTCCAATAAACTGAGATGCTGATTCTAACTTCATGAAAGTCAGTAACAGGTCTCCTGTTGACTTCAAAGTTTTTAGGATAGGATTTTAAGAGCTTAATAAAGATACTGGAAAAAAATTACCTAACTCTGTACTGGTATTATCATATAGCATTGGTTTTCAAGCCTTTTTTTTGCTTGCAGCTCCTTAAAATTTACTCAAGAGACTCGATTTTCTTAACAAAGTTCTACAGACACCCTAAGAGTGGTTCTCACACTGTCAGATAGGTATGGGTCATGCACTGAAAACATCTACTAAGGGGAAGGAAAGGACATCCATATAAAAAAAACCCCAAAACCTTACCAGTAACTAACTACAGGAAAGTTTTGTTTTCTCTTTCTCATTTCATACTAATTACCATTTTTTTCAACTCTAAATTGCAATAAATTCCCTCAATTTCACTCCCCCTGCTCCATTACATAGAATTTCTCCAAATAAATAATGAAATTGAATAGTTAAGCTTGCAGAAATTGCTATTACTTTATCAATGCCTGAGCCAACAAAAGCATTTTTTATGCACCTGCATAAAAGAGAGGGAACTGAATAGCTTTTAAGAAATGTGCTACATTTTATTATGTCCTGGTGACACACAGAAGCATATCTACAATTCTGAAAGGAGTAGGGATGGAAGAATGGGTGGAGAAATTTTCTACACTCATGCTTCTTCACAATGAATTTACTGATGTTAGAACAAACAGTGGTGCCTTGCTCCAGAAACAATCCTTTGCCAATACATTTTGCATCAAATCCTAAATCATCATTTTAGTAATTTCTTAAATGGAAACCAATGTTAACTTTTACCTTTAAATGCAATATTTCACTTTACTATTTCTTCATTTGCATTTGCTATTATTTTGATTTGCTGCATTATAATTTATTTTGCAATTGTAAATAATTTTGTTATATATACTTTGTTTTATTAATTCTGATAGTTTTGCTAACACAACACGACAGCATATTTAGTGGATTACATAAAGTTTCTTTCTACTCCTCAGCATCAAGCAACATTAATGTATGTCTAAATTAAACCAAAGCACCCAGTGAGTTTAGATTGGTTTAACCTTCCCCAAAGTTTTAGAGCTCATTAATGTTACTCTGCAAAGCACCTATAGTCTTAAAACAGAGCCATCGTGTGCTATTGTTTTGACACTTTCTTGCCAAGCTCCCAACGCCTTGCAAACAATTGACTTTTTGTGGGTTACTCTAACTGACAATTTTCATCATCACAATTCTTAATTTTGACTCCTCCCATAAAGTAAAATTTCCTGAAGTCCTTCTTATATTTTGTATATTAGAAGGGAGGGCGGAGGGCAACAATAGGCCAGGGTGTCATTTCTCTTGTTCATATCTATGAATGACGTTTGGCTTCATAAATAATCCACTGAACTCACAGTGTATGGTCCAGGTGTTAGCTTGTCACAGTTTAGTCTCATGGATATAGCCGATATCTTCTTGAATATTTGGGGACTGGGAGAAGACTTGCTTGTCATTTGAAGCTGAAAATAATAAAAATTGACCAAAAATTTAGGAAAACTGTTTACAATAAAAAAATACACAGTTACATTAATGCTTCAGTAGCTGAATTCCAGCCTTAGGACGCAGTTTGAGGTAAAAACCTCCTCTCAGAATGCCTTGAATTTGGACAGACGTAAAACTGAACAGGTTCTTGAGACATCTTTAAATAGAGCATAACAGAGTGTTCAGTTTACTGGGAGCAAACGCTACAGACAAACTTCATTGAAAACCTACTTCATTTTTACACCCAGCTTCTGCTTTCTCATTAATGCATATCCACCTACAAATTCTGAAAGCCTAGCAAAGATTTTAAAGGAAAACAAAACAAATGGGTTCAATAACCTCTGTAGAGCATTTGCAGAAACTCCTGGATATGAGACTAGAATCTTTTAAGCCAAAGAAGGGCAGGTGGATGAACACAAAGACTGACTTTCCACAGAAAGCTAACTGTTATTTTGGAAATACAGAAAAAAATGATGTAATTATTTTTCCCCTCTGTCCCCAGCATCTTTCTTCTTTTTAACCCTCAAGGATCTAACTTTTTTTTAAGCATGCACTCAAGTGCACTGGCGTAACTCAATTTCAAAAAATTAAGCGACAGCTGTTCTTTTTAGAGCTCCAGTTGTAAAAATTTATTAATTACCTATTAAACATCTAATCACTAAATACACTTCCTGCATGTGTGCCTGCTAAAATGAAAAATGCTGGACCCATCTTTTTTTTTTTTTTTGGCTTTCTACATTCAGGTGGCAGAGGCAGAAGTGGAAACCAGATGGAACATGGCAGATGGGAATTCTGCTGCAAAAAAAATTCTCTGTAGCTGTAAAAGGTAATGCTGTCCAACTTCTGAAAACTATACTTCACGCAAGATGACTAACTAGAATAATCACAAAATCAGCAACATAAAGGAAAATATAACTTCCTGCAATAAAATGAGAAAGACATGCAAAGATAAAGTCAAACTGGGAGGTTGACTTTGCAACCCCTTGTGGTAATGAGCGGTGATCAAGATAATAAAGAAGAGGTTCATGCCTGAAAGCTGGCCTGCTTCTTTCAAGTATAGCAGTTGATCTAATGAAAGATAATATCTCCTCTAAAACCTTGCCTCTGTTAGATTTTTAATCCATTCTGAATAGAAAAACTATTGCTATTTCATTTTTCATTTGGAGATTTTTAAAGAGCTTTACAAAGAGGTTTACAGATACCACTGAGATTCTTGATGTATAAAGTATAATGGACTACCTTGACGTTTTGACACTTTAAAATCCATATCCTGACTTGGATACTGATAAGCTACCAGGTAATGCATGGGGACAGTCAGGTCCCTCAGCACAGGACATATGGAAGGTGAATCTGATGAAGCTGGAAGAGTGATGCTGCTGGAGATGGAGATGCCCTTCTCTTTTGCCCCTCCTCCCCAATGTAGGTGCTATCCTGAGCTGCAGCTGGCACTTCTGTAATTCACAGTTATGAACCATCTCCTGAAGATGGATACTTAAGCCATCCCTTACTCACAAAATACAGACAAGATCCTCTACAACGTTCTTGGAGCTCTCACTTGGGATCTCAAATTCCAGCTTCAAATCCTTCAAATATCTGAAAACGTTTGGCTCTTCTTCTCTATCCCTTGGTACAATTCATTCATTCTCCTCCTGCCTCCTCCCTCGACTCCACCACCGCCAGTCCAATGAACATTTAATCACTTCATAGAAATTGGAACTGCTTGACACAAGGGCAGGATAATTTTGACTCCATGTCTCATCACTCTTTCTCAAAGCTTACTCTTATAGCCTTCTGTTTAAGGTGCTTCTCCTGTGAGAAGAGGCAGAAAATGCAAACTCATATCTACCTAGGTAGAGGTGGAATTTGAAGTGGGATCTCCCAACTACTGGATGAATGCCACTAGAGCAGACTGAGGGTGTCAATGTCATGCTCAAAGAGTATCTGTAACATTGAGTCTTGCAAGCGAGCCATCCATTTCTGAGTTTGAAATCCTGACAGGTCTGAGGTGCAAGACACGATGAAATGCTCAGAGTCTCAAGGCTGGAGACATACTGGGCATGTAGAGGAGCAAGATAAAAGCTACATCAGGAACATCTTAACATTAGATGCTTAGACTACACTTGATATTTAGAGACAAGTGGTTCTGCCTGTATGTGATTGCAAAGACCTATATATTTTCTTATCTTGGAAATAAATACCTTCACATTTTCAGAATGTCCAAGCACCACCAGCTGCCAAATCTAGAGCATAGAGCAGCACAATATGAACAGAAGAGAAATCTGAGGCACATTAATTCAAGCTTTGTAAATTAATAGCTAAACTGCTCAATAAGATCCTGGATCCTGGAAAGGCAAAGAAACCTGGTGACGGCATGAAGGTGTGCTAGGAGAACGAATATGCAGACAAAGCTCTGCATACTTTCCAAGCTGTCTCAGTTAAGCTCTGGGGTTTTTATATGGCAGTTTTACATGTGTACCTTACCAGTGCAGCTAAGCACAGCTGGGCATGAACTTGTCTGAATCCATTCCCTTTCAAACTGAAGACACAAACCCTGTGAACACCACGAATTTTACCCTGAACTTTGCACGAATCTCTAAGTAATTTTACATTCAGACCATGGAGGCTTTTAATATCCTTTGCCAGACAGCTCCGAAATTTCATGGGTGTATTAGATGGACACGTTTTATGACCCTTTAATTAATTATTGTGTTTTTACTACCCTTGGTGCTTTCTACATTTGCTGACCTCAGACTACACTTACATACCTCTCTTCACATGATTTCAGACTGAGTATGACTTTCCTCCCATATCCATTTTCATTTAACTCTGATCTGCCCCTTTTTTGAAATTCTGAACTGGTTTTCATAAAAATCTTATCTACAATCAAAGCTCTGTTTCTCTGTAATGCTTTGGGATATGGTCTTATCTCATGCTATTATTAAAAACGGAAAGCTCTTTTATACAGGTATATTTTTGACCTCTGCTCTTCTCTATTTGGAACAAAACCTGCAGCAGTATGGCCAAGAATAGAAGCAGCATCATTCAGCTCCCAGTTTTATACTTTAAGCACTAAATGATGCCTCCTGTGAGTATATAAAATTTCATTTGAATGCAAAATCTCATTATATTTGCTTACATTTACAATGTGTTGATATTATTTTTTATATCCTGCCTCTCCTTGACCTCACTTGTCCTCCAGGGCTTAGCAGATTTTCCAGGTCCATTACAACAGTGGGAGAAGGTTTATGTGACTAGTTGTCACTCAGCCTGTATGTGAAAGGTTCCCATCAAACAGCTGGCGACAGTTATTACACCACAGTCAGCCCTGTTTGAACAAAGGACTCCATGACTGTGTGAACAACACTTCTGATAAGGTAGATATTTTAGGAAACAAGCAGAAACATTTCGAGGATATTACCACGAGACAGGCATTTGTATTACCCAAGAGTTCAGCACTTTCCATATGTGATAAAATGTCAAAAACCCCTGCTTTGCAGCCACATATATAAATTGGGATGCATTCCACTTAAACAGAGGACACTATATTTGTAAAAAATAGTGCAAAGATGGTGTCAATCTCAGACCATCACCATTACAGTAGAAGATAAACAACACCATGGCTCTGGAGACAAATTTACCAGGTAAGTGGATAAAGAACTGTTGTTACTATATTGTGCTCTACCAAGAAATTAGGAAGTAAGTAGAAATTAATAAAAGGTTCAATAAAAGAGATATAATGCACATCAATCTATTGCAAAACCTTTTAACAGTAAAACTATGACTTATTCGTGGCTATGGGACTTACTTGTGGCTATGGCTTATTTCTGACTGTATGTCATGAAGCTGTTTTCTGAGTGCAGAAGGAAGGTAAAATAAACATTCTATTTTCTACAAAAGCTTGGGTTCTATTTTAAAATCTTGTCAACCAGAAATGGGGAGGAGTGTCTGAGTAAGAGCAACCATAAAATGACTCATTATCTTCTGAAAAATCAAGGCACCACAGACAATGTACTTGTCCAGCAGTATGATCATATGTTCACATTATTTTGATCAGGAATAACATTAGCCATCTAAGCTCCACATTTGAACAGCACTTTAGTATCCAGTTTTTCACTGAGTTGGCAAACAGTTGCAGTGAACTAAGTATTCACTGCACTGAAAGGTGGTCAAAATTGAAATTTCTGTTCTGCAGGAAACCCTGACCCTTCAAAATTTGATTATGCTTTAAATTAGAAAGGATGTCATTACTTCACAACTTCCCATTAAACAAATGTCTTGAAGAAAGATATTCAGGAATCTAAACCAAAAGCATTTTGGTAATGACAAAACTATTTTTATATAATTGAATGGTTTTAGTTTGATATAGTAAGAATCTTTGAATGAATTGTATCTAAATACAGTCTGAACCATTTTAGATTACATTTTTAGTCATGATAGTAATATGGTTAACATTGATACATAATGTAAAAGGCAGGGCAAAATAAAGAATGGGAATTACTAAACCAGAGGATTTTTACAAAACTGAAATAATTATCTTGGACAGTTCTCTGTGGATATCTGCACTGTATCTGTTATAAAATCTTAAAATAAGGTTATCCTTCATTCACTGGTAAAAAACTAGAACAACCCTCCCTCTCCCTGCCCCAAAATTACTCAATTGAAAAACGTGATTAGGCCTGGCCTCTCCGAAGTCGCTGGGAGTTCTGGCATTGACATCAGTTAAGTCAGAACGTTATTCACTGATTTCAGATGGACTACCTGTGCACTCTAAAACATGCAAACATAAGTCCTGTATTGATCTGGAACCTTGACAACAAAACTTCAAAGAAAATGATCCCATCTAAATCTCAGCTGAGAGGATAGAGCAAGACTCCTAAATATAGTGCATAGACTCTCAAAAAAGCAAAAGCATTGTCTAGCCAGATTCTGAGTCCATTTTCTGTTAATTTACATAATCTGGAACAACAGCAAAAATAGATTATTTCAAAAAAGTTTGACCAGTTCACCAATTTTAAAGCATTTTCAACCACAAGAAAACAGCAACACTATTTTTATCATACACTTAGAAAGAAATCATTACTGTTACTGCATTATTAAAATCTGCATACCTATAAATAAGGTAGTGATTTCCAACATTAATCAGACACTGTTCTCAACAGTCAATATAATAAAATTAAACCATGCAGTAAGATAAACAAAAAAGAATTCACCCAATGTGGGCAAATACGCCTCAGGCACATCTATTATATCCACATCTGCCTACAGAGCAGATTGCTATCATCTAGTGTTATCAAAAGGCTCTATGTATTTCTCAGAAAACAAGCACACACAGTTTCAATAAATCATGGTGCTAAATATATGTTCCTCTGTCAGTAAGACATTGCCTTCCATTTTGGTTATGCCTGAGAGAGAATGCTTCTTTTTTTTGTGAGGTCAGATTACAAAAAAAAGAGTAGATTCTCCTCTTCCCTCCTGCCTAATCCCTTGAGCATGTGCTTTATTGCAGACTTGAAAAGCCCCGTGGGGCCCTTTTGTCATGGAACAGGCAGGGTTTCATTGCCAAGCCCATCCACACTGCCCGCCGCTTTTCTGATGGTACCTGGGAGACAAATTCTTTTGGATGTCCACTGGTCTTAATACAAATATGAAGCTAAAGATTCTTACATCATTTTAGGCCACTACAGTCTGAAGAGACATCCCCACTGCTGCAAATCATAAAAGACTAACAACCATCTCCATTTACCTCCAAAACAATCAGCCAGTGCAAAGTAAAAGGTGTCTTAATTTCCAATAATAGAGAAGCATATTTAAAATAAAGTAGAAAACTACTTCAAGCGTGAATCATGCAACATAATAGACTGCAAAATTGCACTGAAATTTTCAGAATACTCACTTAAAAGGCTCCTTGTTTTCTTTAAATAAATATTTATTTTTGGTACATTAACTCAGCATTTTTGTATCAGTAGGTGGAATGTATACTCTAATCTAAACTTCATAAGAGTATTAGCTGGAGCTTTGCAAATACTTTCATCCAAACAGATGACTGTATTTAATACTGCAGTATAACCTTGCCTAGTTTCTGAAATAAATTTGCAAAGGGAGTGGATTACTCTGAGGATAATTTATGTGATAGGGAGGTGGGTTTTTTTTATCTTGATGTCATTATTTGAAACTGACTAAATTAAATTGCAGCATTAAGTAACCTAGGGCACTAAATGGAATTTGAATCCTACTTCCTAGGTACAGCCATTTAGTAGCAAACAAAGTTATATCACAAAGCAGACTATTCAAGCATAAGAAAGTAGCTCTGTCAACCCTGGGCAAAGAGTGACTTACTTATATTCCCAGTGGAAATACACCACAGAGATGGAAACTGGGCGGGGATCTCCCAAGTACTGAGGCTTTCAGTGCAAGGCCCAGTTATTACAGTGGAAGAACCTGCACTGACCCCACTGGATCCATATTAGAACTATGGCAGCCAGATACAAGATAAAACAGAGACAGGGAACAAGTAGGCATCCACTGAAATGTTAGGCTAAGGGCCAGCTTTCTGTGTTGGCAGATGTGATGTGCCATTTTGACAATGCAAGTCCACTGAGGTTCTCTCATCTCCATTAAGTATTGCAGAGCATTGTCAGCGAATTTTGCACACGTTTTAAATGTACAAAGAAATATTAAATACCTTGTCTATCAATGCACATTTTTACCTATTTTTATTAATTATCTCTATGGACAACAAAAGCAAATAAGGTGTTTAACAGTGATGAGAATTAACGGTCTGGTAGAATGTGCAAAAGTTTCACTAGAAATTTTAAGTTAAAAGTCAGAGGTCAACATTACCACAGGCATAAAACTAGAGAAACATCCATAAAAGGATGATTCCAGACCAATTAAGGTTCAGCAAACATTCAGCATCTGTGGGTTCCTTATGTTTTTTATTAAGCCAGAATGAAAGAGTTTTGCTCATAATTCTGTACTCTTTTTTCTTTTTTCCTTTATGTTTAAAATCTTTTGCTGCATTTAATCACTTTTGGTGTCTTTCCTTCTTCTTTGCAGCAATTTCGCCTGAGCACTCCTGGGAGTGGTGTTGCATTACAGATTCATCAATGATTTGCTGCTTACTCTACATTATCCCACAAGTGCTGAGGCAAACAGTTCTTCGCCAGGATCAAATGATGTTCTATATTCGCCCGCACTTTAAAATCTTGTTAATGTTGACACTTCTGATGAAAGCCTGACAGTGACACTGGAATGAGTGTAACCTGCAGGCTTTGGTGACTGCCAAATAAATGGGTACCCAGGGCACAAAGTTTTTTCTATGTCCTCTATGTGCCTACAGGGGCATCATTAATTTAGGCAACAACTTTACCAGAAACAACACCAAATAGAACAGCTAACATACCCTGTCTGTAGGAGATGTTGCTGATAAGTGACAGGGAGACTATTTGCTATATTGCTAAACCAGTGTGTCCGAGAAAGAGTTTTGCTCTAAAGTCAATTAACTTTAATGGAAAGACTCCAAATTACTTCAGTGATCTTTGGACCAAGCTCAATAAGAACTAATTAGGTCTCCATTCCAAAGGTTAGTTGTCAGAATTATTTATGGCTTTTTGTTTGTTTGTTTTTAATATTGGACAAGAGGGTCTTTTTAATTATTTAGAGGAACTGACATCACTTTGAAAGTCGTAAGTTGCAAATACAGGTGCCAGTAATAAAAAATTTAATTCCAGGTAATCAGACAAGCAGAAAAATGTTACACACTGTGCAAATGCAATCCACTTCCTGGGGACAAAGGAAATATAAACTACAGTTAGTAACACCTGTAATTGAGTTCCGTGATGTTTGCTACACTCCACAGCCTTACCAAACCTTTCATGTGTTCTACAAGAACACAACTAAGTTTACTGACTATAGCTTCCACTTCTGACAACAAAATCTAGGAAGTTGTCCAGGGCTGGACTTTTCAGAACTCATCGCACTCACTGCAAATAAAACTCCTAACACAGAAGATTATATGTCTGAAAAACTTACCACAGGAGAGAACATACTTGAAGAAAGAGAGTGATGCAGGTTCCTTATGTAGGAGTGATACCACAGCAAATGGCTGAGTAGTCTCAGTACTATCTATGATTTATTTATTCTGTCAGCAGATCATCACCTGCAAATCAAATTAAGACATGCTCAAAATCCGAAAGTCACAAATTAGAGCAGAGTGAATTGTACTATATCATTTATCTCACAATCTTCCTCCTATTTTTTCTTCCTTTCTTTTCCTGGAAACTGCAGAAAATACTTAAAGTTCAAAGTACAATAAATATAATATAATCAAATTGCACTTACAGCATACAAGACAGGAAACAGAGATGTATTTCTTCACTGTGAATTGGTCAGACAACAAAATTATTCAGCTTGGAGTGCAGTCTTCAAAAAAAGACCTGAAATCAGCTTTTGGATACTAGAGTCCAGTTCTCTCTGGCACTAACAAAATGTCATTTTCTGGCAGAACATGGATCTGCACCTTTGCTAAGCTCTGAAAATCTAGTTATATGAGGAGAGGAGAGCCTGTTTTTGTGGTCTAATGGAGAGGATGAGAGGAAAGACATAGCTCACACCCTCACATGATGCATAAAAGGCAGAGAGCCAAAAAGCTCTTCCTGTGGGCAGAGATGGCCTTTCTGTTTCCCTGATAGGGACTAACCCCCCTGAAAGGGAGTAAAGGAGGAGGGTTGCTCTCCTCTCCTCCATCTCCTGTTCACCTTGTAGGTACCAAAGGGCCAAGCTCAAGTGAATTCTGGGACAGAGATTTTCCACAGGCTGCCCCCACTTGCCCCTTTGCCAGAGGCCTTGTCAGCTGAAACGTGTACCTGCTCCGTACCTGCTCCAAGCCTCAGGTTGCTCACTGTCTCAAAGCAGATGAGACACCAGGGTACAAATAGAATGTACTGAAGGTCACCTGATGGAAATCAGGGTGGACATAGGCATATGCACACACTCATCACTTGCTCTGTGTTTGGACACAAACCCCAGGCAAACGGGTTTGGTCTGAGGTGTTGGTCTGCAGGGATGGGTTGCAGTCAATAGTCTCTTGCAGAGCTTTTAGAAGCACTGACACTTCACTTGAGCTGAAGACAACGAAAATCGGCCTTTCTGAAAATCAGTTTCTCAACAGTAATAATCATAGAGCCATAGAATGGTTTGGATTGGGAGGGACATTAAATATCACTTAGTTCCAAGCCCCCTGACATGGCCAGGGACACCTTCCATTAGACCAGGTTGCTCAGAGCTCCATCCAGTCTGGCCTTGAACACTTCCAGGGATGGGGCATTCACAGTTTCTCTGGGCAAAGTCTTCTAGTTGCACTGAGTAACAGTTACCGAGATTCTTAATTAATAGACAGACAGTATATAATATTTTGGATTAATATGAAGAAAAATTGGAAGGGCTTATATGCACTACATCCCTGTGCCAACCCCAGCCCAAAGTCTCAATTATGATGTGTAAGCATCTTTGTAAGTTGTGTTAAAAATAATAAAAGAACTGGCATTCATTTATGGTCAGTCAATCAGAAAGATCCATAATGTGGAAGTTTTTAACAAGCTGCTGTCCAACATTTTTGACATGTTTTAAAACAAGCCATCCTGATCAGCCCTGTAGAGGGTAATGCTTCTAAGCTTAATGACTCTCCAAAGAGGAGGAGGCATAAAGATTTAGCAACTCAGTAGACATGACTGCACAGACCTCTGCAGCCAGCTTGGAAATGACAAATGATTTGTTAATAGAGAAGCTTTCTTTCTGTATTATTTTTTGCCGATGAAGTGAAAACAGAGCATTGATTAAGCAATCCAAGCTGAGAATATTCTATCCAAATTGGAGAGCTTTCAAACCAGCTGCTGGTTTCAAGGCTTTGAAATACAACTTCTGCTTGTTGCTCGATGCTCAAAGATACCTATCCTGGAGCCACAGACAGTGATTGATGCCAAGGTGACACAGATGAATTTCAGCAGTGTGGGCCATGCCACTTCCACAACACTTGTGTAAAAAAATGCTTTCTGTCTCAAATGCTATGAACTAAGAGAAAAGATTAATAGAGACATCAACAAAAAAGTTCTCTGTACAAATAGAGTATGACTGAAAAATACCAATAGCCCAACACGTTCTTGAATCACCATCACCCTTCTCTTCCACCTGTCAGAGGAAATAATTTGTACAAAAATTCAGACTGAGCCTTTCACTCACAACACTATGTTTCTGCACAGAATTTTATGGAAGTTACCCTACATATTCAACAGTTAATAAGAACTAGGTGTCTAGAGGGAATTAAAAATATTTGTGGGATTTTTCCCCTTGCAGAAAAGAATTAAATTTTCCAGGGGAGCTTTAAATACAAGTTTTTGGCCCTCACAGATGTTAAAGTTTGAGTGATTCATATTCTCATTCCCTTGTGTAGCTACATTATTAGACTGTATTTCCCTCAATTCATCAGAGAATACACTATGTCCATAACCATAAAGCAGAGATAGTGGCATGTCATGGAAGACTAAGTCCAAACAGAAAAACAAGCCCCTAAGCAGAACAGGAGCAAGAATCATCTAAATTGTAATACTCAGAAGGCATTATGAAGCCTTTTTAAAATTAAAAAATGTATGATTTTGTGGTTGAGCATTTTGGGTTTTCTTATTAAAATAAACCTGCAAAAGGAACATGCCTTTCACTACAAATATTTCAACACACCAATTTTAGCACACTGTGCAATGAGAAATTTTCACCTTAATCAGGTCAGTTTGTTTGGATGACTGCTGAGTAAATAGCTATGCCATGCTATCTGTATTGCAGCTCTTGCTCCAGAGCTATGAAAAATCAACACAGACATATAAGCCAAGTAAAAAATATGCTTTATTTTTAACAAATAAGCATTACAAGAAATGGTATGTTTATTCAACTAGTGATCTGAACATGTTATACATCCGAAAATTAAACCAGTTATTTTTGTCTCTCTGAATTTTAAATCAACACACATCACTCTAAAAGGCTGTTAACAAAGGGACTGTCCTTTATGTAGCAGAACTGCTTTCACTGAAAAGTTCATGGAAGAGTACAAATCCTAGGGCTAAGATACTGTTTTCTGAAAACTTTGCTCAGAAAACCAGCACATATACTGGAAAGGGTAGATTTCTTTCACCGTGATTTAATATCCCCGTTTAACCTATTATCTCTACATTCTTGATGGAAAAATTTCTAATTGTTTGAATACCTCCTTCTTCCCTGAAAAAAACCCCCAAACAATCAGGAAAAGGGAACAGAGATTTGTGTTGACTGTTTTAGAACAGAGACTGGGGGAAAAAACCACTATCAGTGATAAAATTATTAGTATTTTTTATTGTTGCTGTTGAAATGAATTACTGAGCAGAAGATTTGTTGGGTGAGTAAAAGTAAAGTTGGGTGAGCCTTCTTGTAGTGCTATTTGCAACATCGTGCTGGAACCCGAAATTCTATTCATAGTCTGAGTACCACTTGATCAGATTTTCCTTGAAATTCCTTAACACTATGCAAGTATTTTGATAAGATTTGTTGCTCTTTGTTTTGCAAGTCATAAAGTCATAGAATGATTCATAGAATCATAAAATTTTAAGGAGTGGAAAGGACCTTAAAGACCATCTAGTCCTAATCCCCCTTTCCATGGTCAGGGACACCTCCCAGTAATAGACCAGGTCTATAGACCAAGGCCTTATCCAACCTGACCTTGAGCACCGCCAGGGCTGGGGCATCCATAACCTCCCTGGAAAACCTGTTCCACTATCTCACCAGTCTGACAGTAAAGAATTTCTTTCTAAGTACAGTTAGCACTAAGTACTATTTCTTTCTTCCTAAATATAGTACATGGTTTCACTGCCAGAGAGGGAAGTAATAGCTCTGTACATATATGAGATGACACTCTGTAAAACAAAAGTCTGCTTACTTTTCTTTTCTGTAACCCAGGATCCTGTCTTCATGTGAAGATGACACAGTAGGTGAGTACTGAGACACACAGATTCCTTACTAACCTCTCCTGAATCTTTCTGACACATAGGGAAGTGACATTCCAGCAGAGCTTTACTGGTTAAACTCAGATTCACAACAGATGCTACTGAAGTAAATGGATGTATTTATACACAAAAGAGATTTGAAGAGGGTTTTTTTTTCATTCTCACAGCAAAAAATTACACTCTTCAAAGTACTTGTGTCCATCAGATTAAAAAGAATTCTTTTTTAATTAACTATTACTTTAAATTTGTTTCATCATTTATTTCTATTGGAAGAAATATTTATAAGTAGAAACCACAGGAGAGTCATAATTCAGGTCACATTTGAGCGGCTCACCAGCTAATCTGAAAATCTAAATCTATTGAGACTTTCTGATATCTTCTCAGAATTGTGTGTCATATTACTTATGAATAGATTCAATTCCGGAAGAAGCTTTCTAAATACCAAAAAATATTTTCTGCTTTGTCATCTACTTCTTTGTTCAGTCAGCTTATGCCTTTTGCTCAAAATTTGTAAATTAACAGACAAATCGGGTTTTGACCCATCCACTGCCTCCTTCCTGTAAGAGATTAATGGCTGAAGAATAATCCTACTGGATTGGCTAAAAAATGCAATGGCACCAGTAGAGAACATACCATGCCTCCTCCTTTTACCAACTGCTTTGTATATAGTGACAGATTATTAAAGTAAGTGTAACAGCAGTAAAATAAATGAAATTTTGTCTCCTTTCATTCCCAGTATCTTACTGTAATTTCCTACTCCTGCTAATGACTCTGTTAGATGAAAAAGGGACAAACCTTCCTGCAACTGAGAGAAAGACTGAGAAGTCAAGGGGACTGAATGCAGCTACTGGACATGTCCCAAATAAGTGACACTGGCTTACTTCCCACATTCACAGTAACCACGAAAAGAATATTTGCTTCCTTTGGCCTTAAATGCATTTTAGTTGCAAGCTCTTTGGGGCACAGTCTGCAGTTGAACATGCTTTTCTAGTGTCATTGCAACACCGCCATGACATATCTTGATACCTGACAAAAATCTCAGTAATAAGTAGTTACCAAGGAAGTTTTTCCATGCAACAACTTAGTTCTCTGAAAGACCACTTTCCTGAGCACTCACTTCAGTACTTGTATATTT